TCAATGCAGTGATAATATTAGGAGGAGGAGAAATGGACTCATGCCTATTGATTTTTTGACTTTATACCATTGTATGGTTAGCTTATAATTTAATGATTTTGATGAAGTAAAATAGTTGTCGAATTTTTGATTTGGACCAAGAATTGAACAAATTCATAAGAAACTAATGTAGTTGGATTTGGCTTCTCGTCTAGAGAGAATTCTGTACTTTACCGTGATAAGGATGGAGCATCCAAATTTATATTAAACGTCTACATCTAATCAGATGGATTACTTACCCTAAGCTTTAGGGCATGCCAGCTAACCTAATGTTCAAATACTATGAAATTAATGCATTGGTTCGAATAGTTTTATCAAATGATTTGATTGTAAACATTCAGAACTAAGAGTATAAGAATACATATTCAAACATAGACCACATATCCAGTGTGCGGTAATAGTGGTGGTACATAACTGCTCATTAAATTCCCTATGGTAATTGAGTTGGCAAGCGATTACGGTGTGAGTATCCAAAGAAAATAGTAAAAAAAGATATTGTTAACAACTCATTAGCAAGACTACATCTATTAAGAGCAATTTGTACCTTTTTTTTTTTTTTTTGTTTTTGTTTGTGACACTACACTTTTCAAACTGAACTCAAAAAGTCTATATATACACCTGCCAATCTTCACAAGCAGCATGCCCAAAATATTTACCTCTCTCTCTCTAAAGTCTAAATATAAAAAAAAAATATGAGCTCGAGATCTATGGAAACCAACTCGGAAATTAGGAGGAGCCCACTAGAGGTAGTGCAAAGCCCAAGAGTTGAAACCAAGATGGAGGATGATGGCGGGATTTTCTTGACATGGGAAGACTTGTGGGTTACGGTTGGGACGGAAAAAATGGCAGCCGATACATCCTTCAAGGTCTCACCGGCTACGCTTGCCCCGGAGAGGTCTTGGCCATCATGGGTCCTTCTGGCTGTGGCGAATCAACCCTTTTTGATGCCTTAGCTGGTATACATTCCAATTTTCTCCTCTTTTTAGTACTTTTATATTATATGAAATATTTAAAATTTTTTTATTTTATTCAAACTCTTCAACTTTAAAATTATTATCAAAAATTAAATAAGCTTATAAAAAATATTTTTCTTTTTCTATTTTGGTTTATTAAGTTTTAATATTATACTAATAGACATGTGTCACAGTTTTAAAAACATGGCACTTTAGGTTAAAGCAAGTATTGTTGATCATTCTAACCAAAAAAAAAAAGTATTGTTGATCAATTTTAAAGTCTTGTTTCATAATCAGTTCAAGGTTTTTAAATTTTTTTTATTTACTATCGAGCTTCAATAAAATTATTGAGCGCTTCATGCCTCAACAAGACAAAATGGGAAAAAAAAAAAATCACCAACGTATCCAATGATCGATAGCCAAAAATTTACATTCTATGAAAGCAAAATTAGATGTTCGAGTTCATAATAGACATTTGTGGATGTGAAATGTATTTACCTAATAGAATAAAATTATGAGCTATTTTTAGACAAGTGTTGTGGTATGTTGATGGTTCTACGGTAACTAAAAACACAATGACTTTAACTCATATTGCAGGGAGATTAGGCTCAAACACAAGGCAAGCAGGACAGATTTTGATTAACGGTTGCAAACAAGCATTGGCTTATGGAACCTCAGTAAGGAAAAAGATTAAGATCTAAACATTTTCTTGATTTATTTGTAGTCCATAAAGAATAATCAATACGGTTCTACAAATCTTAATAGTGTTGCAAATGAACTAACTCGAGTCGAGCATCAGTCTCTTTTAGGCTCGGCTCATTTGTTTGTGGTTTAGTTTGAGATCGTTACTAGCTTGAAAAACTTAGCACAAAATAATAATAATTTTTTTTTTTTTTTTTTTTTTTTTTTTTTTTTTTTTCTTAATTGGTACTAACACACACATGTCTCTACGGAGACTTGAACCCCTGATCTTCCTTTGGAAAGTAGAGGTCTAGTACTACTAGACCATTGGCCTGTTGATACTCGTAATAATATACAAGTTTATATTTATAAATGTTTTGATCAGCTAGAGACGGTCTTTCCACGAATCGATCCCAAATTGTTTATGAATAACTCTCATAAATATCTAGACTAATTATTTTTCATTTGCTTTTTACCCACATAGGCTTATGTCACACAAGATGATACTTTAATAACAACCTTAACCGTCAAAGAAGCAGTGTACTACTCTGCTCAGCTTCAACTACCAAACTCCATGTCCAAATCTGAGAAGAGAGAGAGAGAGAGAGCAGAAATGACCATTAGAGAGATGGGCTTGCAAGACTGTGTGAACACAAGGATTGGAAGATGGGGTGCCAAGGGCATTAGTGGTGGACAAAAGAGGAGAGTTAGCATATGCATAGAGATCCTAACACGCCCAAAGCTTCTCTTCCTTGATGAACCAACGAGCGGGCTTGACAGCGCTGTGTCATACTATGTCATGAAACGAATTGCAGAGCTCGATCAATAGGATGGAATGACTGTCATCACTTCCATTCATCAGCCAAGCAGTGAAGTCTTCGCTCTCTTCCACAATCTGTGTCTTCTCTCTTCCGGCAAAACCGTCTACTTTGGCCCTGCTAGTGCAGCAAATGAGGTAATTGCAAGCGTTTATTTATATGAGTCAGAATCCTCTATAGTACAGCGCACGTGTTATAATCATTTCACACACAGTAGTGTGTGAAATTATGTGGACCATCCAATATTGCATTAGTGTATAATCCCTCTTGCATTCTTTGTGGTGTAGTTCTTTGCATTGAATGGCTTCCCTTGCCCAACGCTTGTGAATCCAGCCGATCACTTTCTTAAAACAATCAACAAGGATTTTGATGAGGTAATTATATATTTTGTATTTTCTTAGCACAATATAATAAGTCTTAATAGTTTATTTCATAAGTTTTAAGCTTCAATGACCTACAATTTTGAAACAGGACATTGAACAAGGTTCAGCCGGGAAGATCTGCACTCAGGAAGCAATTAATACTCTTATAAACTCATATAAATCATCAACTAGTTATCCAGAAGTTAGAAGGTAGGTAGCTGAAATATGCATACAGGTCAGCAAACAATTCACAAATCATATTACATCTTACTTTTTCAAATTTACAAATAAATAGAATAAGTACTTAACTAAATTAATTAAACATTGTTCATTTTCAGGGAGGTGGAGTTTTGATGAAAAGAAGTCATGCTAATTTCTTAACCCAATGTCTGGTTCTTACGAGGAGGTCTTTCGTGAACATGTTTCGTGATCTTGGCTACTACAGGCTGCGACTTGGTATCTATATCATAGTGGGCGCAGGTCTTGGCACCATCTACTACAATGTTGGCTCAAGTTATGGTTCAATACAGGTAACAACATGAGATGATCATAATGCAGTTTAATCATCAATTGTAGATTGAATTAATCATTGTATATATATGGTTGCCACTGTTACAGGCTAGAGGTGCAATGCTTATGTTTTGTGCTTCATACTTAACTTTCATGGCCATTGGTGGATTCCCTTCATTTGTGGAGGATATGAAGGTGAAAATCATCAAAATTCTTCAATCCTAAAATCTTTTAATTTCAGCTTAGTGAAATGATTCAAACTAGTTGAATATATGCCTAAAATCTATTTGACACTAACTTGCAGGTATTTGAAAGAGAGAGATTAAATGGGCATTATGGTTCCGGTTCATTTGCTATCGGCAACACAATTTCTTCTACGCCATACTTGTTACTCATATCACTGATTCCTGGATCAATTGCTTAATTCCTCACCGGACTTCAAAGAGAATACGAACAATTCACCTACTTTGTTTTGGTGCTTTTCACTTGTATGATGCTGGTGGAGAGCCTGATGATGATTGTGGCAAGTGTAGTGCCCAATTTCCAAGGGTATAATAACTGGTGCAGGGTTACAAGGGCTATTGATATTGGGTGGAGGGTTTTTTAGGTTACCAAATGATCTTCCTGACCCATTCTGGAAATACCCTTTATACTACATTGCCTTCCACAAGTATGCATATCAAGGATTGTATAAAAATGAGTTTAAAGGACTCAAATTTCCTAGTAGTAGTGAAGCTGGAGCGACACACACCATCACTGGTGAATATATTCTGAGAGAGAGATTTCAAGTGGAATTAGGTTACTCCAAGTGGATTGACCTTGCCATTTTGTTAGGAATGCTGGTTCTCTATAGGCTGATTTTCTTCATTATGGTGAAGATGGCTGAGAAGGTTAAGCCTACTATTAGGGCACTCATGTCTGTGGCACCAAAACAGAAGACACAAGTCATGGTGAATCCCTCAAGTGTTATAGTATAATTTTCCTGGTTGTATGGAGAGGGGGACATCCTTCTTACGGTTGCAATTGATGTGTCATGATATTATTAGATCATGTGCCCTTTTATAATATATTAATTTTATTGTCCAACCATATCATGACGGGGAGTTTCTCCTCCGGCATTAGGTTGCAAATCTTGTTCATATTATATATGTATTGATATTGCATCTTAGTTAAAAGGATTAATTATGAAAAGTTAACTGTTTTATTGCTTCAGTTTGGAATGGTTATTTGTGCTAGAAACTTAAGGGTGAAACGGTGCCTTCCACTCAAGGGTTCGTAATCTAATATCCCCGGTGACTTTGGCAACGGCCAGTTTTAGTTTATGGCGGGGCATTGCTTAGTTCAGGAGGATTTGCTGGGAGAGAGAGAATAAAGTTTAATAGGATTTATTGCACTTCTACTTATAATATTTTAGTGAAAATTATATATAGATATATATATTATTAGATGAACTAACTCATGCATTATTATAAATAAATATATTTATATATTATACTATATGATAAATAGATTAATAAGAGTTTATTTAACCTCAAACGGTAGAATTGATTGAACCGTTCATTTACGGTTTATTAGTTTCATGGTTGGATTTGACTTTATTTTTTATGAAATCATTGGAAACAGTTGGGCTTCCTGGTTTGGATGGGATTTGATTTTAATTTTTATAAAATTACTGTAAAAAGTTTGGTTTCAAGATACTCCTCAATTGTCCGATCCAAACTGTCCGGACCCAGTTACGCAGCCCAAGTGATCCCAAGATTCCGAAATAAAAAACTAGGGTTTTTTTATCATTACCAATTTTGCAGCTGTGAAAGCATAGAGATAATGGGAAGAGGGAAGAGAAGAGCATCGTCAAGATCTAATCTTTTCCATCTCCCTGAAGATATCTTGATTCAGATCCTTGTTAAACTACCGGCGAAATCACTGTTACGATTCAGGTCCATCTGCAAATCATGGTGCTCTCTAATCAGTCACCCTAGCTTCATTGACGCACATCTCAAACATCAGACAAGCTCAAGCAACAACAACAACAGTTATCTCCTCCTCAGGTACAAACCTGACATTCATAATAAGAAATCCAAGGCCCTTTACTCAATACATCATGATGATGAATCGTTCCGTCAGTATTTTCAACCAGAGCTTCCAGAACAATTCAAATCCTCAGATATATACGGGACTTGTAATGGAATAGTATGCTTGTCGGAGAGTCCATTGATTCCATCAAGCGACATATATTTATGGAACCCAGCACTTAGAAGAATGAAAACCCTCCCGACACCTCACAAAGTTGACCTACTAGGTACCGCCTTTGTGGCCTTTGGCCTTGACTGCTGTGGTAATGACTACATAGTAATGAAGATTGTGAGCTTCCCGCCAGACATTAATAACCCATTCAATACTTCGTTCCGACTTGATGTTTACAGTCTAAGCACAAACTCTTGGAGAAAAATTGGTGTTGCAGCCTTATCATGTTCCATTCGTGGTTGCCAACTTGCCATCAACAACGGAGCTGCCTATTGGACTGCATATGTGGAAACCAAGGATGCTGAAGGTTGGACCATTTTTCAAATTGAAATGGGTGATAAAGTTTGTAGCGAGGTAATGTTGCCGGATGATGCTCAGCGTGGATGTCCAAGTATGGCGGTATGGGGGGAATCACTCTATCTTTATGATTTTCTTTGGAATAAAGGGTGAGAGTGTTTTATATGGAGAATGGAGTGCAGCAAAATGGGAACTTGGACAAAACGACTCATCATTAAGTTTCCGGAGCTGAATCCTTGGTGGCTAGGCTTTAGAAGGAACCACGAACTTCTGCTATTACGTTACATGGAAAGACTGGTGTCTTATAGTCCTGAGAACCAACAAGTTAAGCATCTTGGAATCGTTGATTTTCTACTTTCCAGCTTACATTCTTATGTGGAGAGTCTTATTCTACTTGGTGACAAAGATTCTTATTCTATACAGTAATGGAAATCCACATTGTGACCTAGCAGATTTTTTTTAATGCAGCAATTCACTCGCAAGAAGCAGCTGAATTTTTGTATATTTTCCGGTAAGTAGGGCAGATAATATTTATTTACTCATCTTGTCTTATTATTAGACCTGTGTTGCTTGCTACTTCTTTTGTTTTTGTTGATTTAAATATATTGATCGACTTAAGAGAAGGGATTATAATGTGAAAATTGAATCTGATTTGGATTTGGATATTTTTACTTTTTAACCTCTTTTGCTTCTCGCATCAACAATATTGTTGCAGAATATTTCACTCCATTTAACACTATAAAATCTTACATTTTCACTTTTGTCAAATAAAAGAATTGTGAAGTCAAGAATGCACCTTTAGCAACTAAGCATCCGTTAATAAAAAAAATCAACCCCGTTAACCGTGTGGTTTATCTGTACCACTCATCAGCTATGTGCAGAAGTTTGCATCTTGCATTTGACTGTTTCACACACTTGTCTATGATCAAATCGTTTCCCCAATTTAAATTGATGAAGTTACAAAAACAAATTGTACGTGTACTAGTTAAGACAACGTAGAGGAAGGTGAGATTGAATTCAGAAATTTATCAACAAGTTACCACAGTTTCAATTTCAATCCTCAGTGGATAACCCAAATATTTTGCATATTCAGAATGTCTTTAATCAACAAAAAAAAAAAAAAAAAAAAACGCGTTTCCCTTTCTCAATGAATTTATTTACCGAAAAAAAAAAAAATGGAAGGAGATTTGTAAAAAGTAAATTAAATATAATGAGAGGATGAAACTTGCACATAACCACCACCTATGAGTTCAAACTAAAAATAATAATCCTAATTCAGAAAGTGACCTTCTTAGCGTAAGCAAAAAAATTAACAATAATAGTAATTTGTGCATTTTTTAAACGTCAAGAAGTTTTAAGTTTTGTCCCAAGCTTGAATCACAAGTAGGGGAGCAACTTGGGTTGGTCAACCCGAACCTCACCCTAGTTTTTTGCGTGTTTGGAATCATTTTTATAAGTAAGGTTAGGCTTGGATTGAAAAATCTAAACCTGAACTTAATTAGAGTTGTGCTTGAATTGAGATGCTAACAACCCGAGCCTAACCCCAACCCAAATTTTAATATTATTTTCATATGTATTTTATTTTAAATACATTATAGTATATAATATTCTTATTATTAAAGCTTAATTTATTATATGTATACATTTAGGAAAATTAATTTTTCAAGAATTTGTTTGTAATTTTTTAAAAATTTGCAATATATTTTTTTTTTAACAAAGTAATTTAATTTGAAACTAATTCAAGATAACATTAAATTTTCATGTAGAGATTGTTCCATCTGGGTAACTTGAATTAACCTGACTTTCTAACTCGAAATCTAAACCCGGCTGCAAACCCGAGTTTAAAAATTTTTTTTTTTTTGAGTTGGATTCAGGTTGAGTAATTAGAGTTGAAGGTAGGGTTAGGGTTATGCTTAGGTTAAACAATTCATATATCGAGTTGGATTCAAGTTATACCTCAAACCCTCCTGATTCACCTGAATTGCAATCCTAATCACAAGTGTGGACACTGATAAGTGGAGTTGCAAAAAAGAAAAGATATATAAAAAAAAAGTCGTGTATCACAAGTGTGGACACTGATAGTATTTATGCAGGTTGGGCTTTGGGAGCTCTAATTATTTTGGGCTTTTCTTGGGCTCGAGTTTCGCTTTAGTTTCTCTTGTAATTTTTTGCAAGGGGAGTAGGGTTATAAATGCCTCAGGATATCTTTTTGAAAATTGTTGTTAGGGTTTTTGGTGATCCTAGTTTGGTGCTGCCATAGCAAAGAAAAAATGGCAAGAGGGGAAAGCAGAGCATCATCATCATCAAGCCCTAATCTTTTATATCTTCCTGAAGCAATCTTAATTTAGATCCTGGTTAGATTGCCGATAAAATCACTATTACAATTCAAGTCAGCGTGCAAGTCATGGTTTTCTCTAATCACCAACCGTAGCTTCATTGAGGCATATCTCAAACATCACACAAGCTCCAGCAACAACAATAGTCATATATTCCTCAAGTATATACCTGCGCAAAACAGGTATAATTTTTGGCATTACACAATACGTTATGATGATGAATCGTTTGGTCTGTATTTTCAACCGAAGCTTCCATTACGTTTCAATTTTTTAGATATATATGGGTCTTTTAATGGACTAGTATGCTTGTCTACGAAATCATTAAACACCATATATTTATGGAACCCGGCACTTGGAAGATTGAAAACCCTCCCAAAACCTCAAAGAGTTGATGCTCCCACTTTGAGTGGTGATAGTACCTTTGTGAAGGTGGGTTTTACTCCCTTTTTGGCCTTTGGCTTCGACTACCCTTGTTATGACTACAAGGTAGTGAAGATTGTTGATTATAGCCTACGACTATACAATGGTACATACTCATACAAGAGATGGTTCATAGTTGATGTTTATAGTCTAAGCACAGACTTTGGAGAAGAATTAGTTGTAACGACCCTAAACCGATACCATTAAAAAAAAATAAAAAAAATTGGCATAACCTCTGCTAAAAAAGGGCCTACAACAACCTGCTAAAAAAAAAAAAATTCAATGCAATGGCCTTTCTTGGCCTATCCAACCTATCCCAACACACAATACAAAAAAATTTATAATACATTCCCCAATACCACAACATCAACAACCTCCCCAAGTTAGCCCATCATCGTCATCCCATTCAACTTAAGCATTTACATAGTCTCGCTTCCCTTCAAAATACCAACAAGAGTTATGATTTATAATACATGACCTTGGCTTGCATAAATGAATACACGACATTCTAGTTTTGAGACTATACAAAAAAAAAATGGGTTAAGATACAAAAAATAACAAAATACAGCTCCTAATCTTCTTCAAGCTTGCGGGGAATTGTCATCCGTCACTTTTTTTCCGAGTCCTGAAAAATGTTAAATAATGGGGTGAGCAAAAAACTCAGTAGGTGGTGCCAACGACGCACTTCTTGTGACCCCGTGAACCCAAATAATGAATAGGACAATAGGGAGAGGGGTCATGCTAAACTGTGAAAAATACAATGTAAATCTGCAAGTTCAAAACAAATGAATGACGTGCCATGAATGCAATGTCATGCATGTCACTCCCCATTTTCAGAAAACTTCCATCACTTCACAAACTGTTAATATAACCCGCCCTTTGGTGACTCCGCAGCGACATGAGAGAAGGATTGGCTACTGTCCCTGACCTTTGGTACCTTCGCAGCGTCATTTGGGGCCCAGATAGCTCAACCATGCTAGGACAATCTCCCTAGTTCTCTCTAGACTATATTAACACACCGGCCTTTTGGTGACTCCGCGGCGACCGGGTTTTCTCAAAACCATTTCATCAAATTCTCCCAAAAAATCCCCTTTTTTATTCTTATCAAATCATTGTACCCTTTTTCATGCCCATGCTATGAATGCATATCACATGCCTTTTTAATACTATGGAAATGGAGAGAATTATTATCACACAATTAGCATACTTTCACATAAAATTTTCAATAAATTATTAAGCATCATAGGCATGGAAAAATTAACATATTAAGCATACTTTACAATAATTCTAAGAAAATTTTCATAAGCTTCCATTTATCATTTATAGTAATTTTGTCAACACAATAACATAAAGAAATTACAATAATTCTATAAAAAGTTCCATAAGCTTCCATGTATTATTTTAACAATTTTGTCAACACAATAACATAAAGAAATTAATAATGAAGCATACTTTTCCTACAAATCAACAATTACACATATAATCATGAACTTTATACCCACAATAAAATCATTCTAGAAGTAATTAATTTCAATTAAGCATGTTGACATCAAATAAAAATAATTGACTCACAAAGGAACAAGAAAATGTAAATTAGAGACCCCTGCCTCAATTTTATGCAAAACCCCCAATTTTCACCTTAAACCCTAAGATTAGAAATCTCTCAAATGGTGGCCAAATGAAGATTGGCTCCAATCAGCTCGTAGATCTCGTTGTGGGCTTCAATTTGCCGCAAACGGCACTTAAAATTACCAAGTGGTTGAAGGTTAATCAAAGCTTTAAAGTTGCAAAAGAAAAAAAAAAAATAGTACATAGAGAGAGAGAGAGAAAAGACGCGACAGAAGGGAGAGAATTTTTTTTTTGATGGTCTGTTAACCTTTAAGCTAATACATAACTTATAATAGGGTAGGTTCCACAAAAATTAAATATTCCACCTTTACAATATTATTATGTATATATGCAAACCAATTGAAACATTACATTCTCCCCAATTTAAAAAGATTTCGTCCCCAAAATCAAAACATACCTGAGGGAGAAAACAACTCTGGATACTTGTAGTGAACCTCTTTTTCAAGCTCCCAAGTAGCCTCCTTAACTCCATGATGCCTCCAAAGAACCTTCACTAGTGGTATCATCTTGTTCCTCAACACCTTTTGCTGTGTGCCAAGGATCTGAACTGGTCCCTCCTCGTAGGAAACATCTTCATCAATGTCCACATCAACCCAACTCAAAATGTGAAATGGATCCGGCTCGTAATTCTGTAGCATTGACACATGGAAGACATTGTGGACTCTGTCCATCTGCGGTGGCAAAACAAGTCTATAGGTAACCTCTCCTACCCAGTCCAAGATCTCAAAATGTCCAATGAATCGTGGTGATAACTTGCTACTCTTCCTGAACGTCATCAACCCCTTCTGTGGAGAAACCCGTAGAAAGATGTGGTCTCCCACCTCAAAGGAGAGCGGCAGTCTCCGCCTATCCACATAACTTTTCTGTCAGCTTTGAGCTGTGAGCAACCTCTATCTGATCAACTTAATCTTTTTAGTAGTCTCCAGTACAATGTCGAGTCCTAAAGCGGCTATCTCACCTACCTCAGTCCAACAAACAGGAGACCTACAAGGTCTACCATACAACGCCTCAAATGGAGCAATCTGGATACTTGCCTGATAACTGTTGTTGTAAGCAAACTCAATAAGCGGAAGGTGATCTTCCCAACTACCTCCCAAATCATGTACATATGCCCGAAGCATATCCTCCAAG